ACAACTCCCCAGAGTTCCTGATCCGGACTGAGATAAAGGAGACTTCCATAAATAAAGGAGATACTAAGACTGTTTCTATCTACTCAGCTGAATTCCTTATTTAGAGTCATTGGTCCTGGACTTTTTATCGTGTACCATTTACTCAAACTTGAACAGAAACACACTTTCTTTTAAAGTAGACTTACCTAAATGTTAGAGAAGATCCTGTGACTATTTAGTCCTCTCTCTCTCTCTCTCTCTCTCTCTCTCTCTCTCTCTCTCTCTCTGTGCGTGTGTGTGTGTGTGTGTGTGTGTGTGTGTGTGTGTGTGTGTGTGTGTGTGTGTGATCAGATAACCTCAGACTGTCTCTCCTCTGAGGCAGTGAAATCTCTTCACCTTGGCTTTGGCTCCTCTGTCCCGGTCTCACTTCCCCTTCCCACCCACTCCCACAGGTCAGAGGGGACTTTGAAGAGGTTCCATGGGACACAGTATGGAAAGCACAGAAGCCCAATCTCTTACTTAGAGTTAAGACCCAAAGAGCTAAACATGACCTCATTAGACTAAGGACAGACTTGTGCTTAGAAATGTCAGGTGGTTAAATCAACTAGACTATCCATTACAGCCAAATGTCTGCATATAGCTAAGAAATATAACCAAACTGGGCTTACTCAGAGAGCTGATGCCCTGGTACAAGTGGCACAGATGGCTTCTTAATATCATCAAGAAGAGAAAAAGGATTCGTTCTAGTGAAAGTCACGTGGAAAGTAAGTTTGAGATGTCTTTTCCTCCTTACTGAGCTTTCATATGTCCTGGCCCTACAACATATGCATCCTAGGGAAGAGCTCAATGCTGATGTTCTATCTCCACATGAATTTATCTGAGCATGCTCTTTCTCCCCCGGACCCTTAATTCATAAGATAACATATCATGTTTTTTTTTTTCAATTCCCTTTATAAAGAATTAATCTGCTGGTAGCCAGGATATTTAGGACATTTCTGAAACCTTAAAAGAAATCCTTCACATTTACAACTATTCTATACAGGCATGTCCTACCCCAGCACTAGGAAAATGTTTCTGATGTACACTTGTAAAGCAAATTCTGTTGTTTAAGTGTTGCTATTACAAAAGAAACAAACAGCAAAGCCAGACGTGGTCACCTAGGCCACCAGCGTGTGGCATGACTAGACAACTGAGCTGGAAACACGATAAAACGCTACTGTTGAACTTGGACCATTTGCTCCTTCTGACTTTACAGTTTGAATGCCGAAAAAGATTAAATCCAATTGCTCTAGAAAAATATGTTATTACTGTGGATGCTCATACGGACTTTTCAAAAAGCATATAATGGTGATCTTCACAGAGCTCAAGAAGCCATGACACCGGACTTGAATGTAGCTGACCAAGCTTCTTGGTGCTCTTTCCATGCCAAGCCTGGGCAGCTGATTCCATGTGAATTCTCATTCGCTGGTGCTGATTATTTCAAAACACTACCCCTCAAATTAAGGGGTTACTTGTACTTATTAGAGATCTGTTTGGTATCTGAAGCTTTGTGGTAGGATTTCTTAAATTGTGAGAAACAGAGTACCAAGGAAACAGTACCATCTCCCATCTCCTCTTATTTTCCAGCTGATAAAGCAGAGGCCTAAGGAATGGAGGATGCTTATTACACATCTCACCGACACACACTGAAGACGCTATGGACTTCACAGTATCTGTGCCCGACTCCATTTGCCCTTCCCCATCTCTCAGTGGAGTAGAGGCTTCCAGGAGCCATGGACCTTAGCACTGGTGCCTTTGGAGTCCTTGCCAGTCACAGCTGGGGACCCGGGCTGAACCAGCAGGCTAAGACGTTCAAGCTGGCATGTGAGCCAGGTTACCAAGCTGAGGAGCAGCCTGGTCTTCTTTTGGCAGCTGATTTCACAAGCAAATAGGCTGAGGGTGTAGGAAGCAGAGGTGTACTCTAACAGGCTCCTATCTGGCTTCTTTATGAGTACCTACAATGCGAACATTTGGTGGTACCTTGTAACCGTCGCTCAATTTGGTTATTATGGTCTTCTTTCATAGGAAAGGAGAAAGTGGTACTTTTTTTTTTTTTTTTAACATAATTGAGTCATTTCCTCTGGGAAGAATTTGATGCTATCAACTTCCTTGCACATGGAGTTGAGGAAGATTTCTTGTGGCATAGTTTTAGGTGTCAATGATAAGCTCACAGGCATCAAGCCTGGGAGCCAATTCTTTTCCTTTCTAAAATCAGAACTTAAAGAAAAAAAATCTTACAAAAATAAGCTCCAACACCCTCATGATTATTTAAAAGCCCCATGCAGTGCCTAGTACTCTTCAACTTACTTTAGTGACAATCATTTGAAAGCAGACTTGACCATCATGACTCCTGGAGGCTGAAGGGCCCAGAGGAGCAGTTCATTCTCTCAAGGAAGCATGACTCAAATGGTAGTTTTAAGTGTTTTCGTACCAGGCCTGCTTTCAGAGTTCAGTAAAACATGTTTCACTTAGAATATATATATATATATATATATTTTTTGGTTTTTCGAGACAGGGTTTCTCTGTGTAGCTTTGCGCCTTTTCCTGGAACTCACTTGGTAGCCCAGGCTGGCCTCGAACTCACAGAGATCCGCCTGGCTCTGCCTCCCGAGTGCTGGGATTAAAGGCGTGCGCCACCACCGCCCGGCTAGAATATTATTTTTAAATGTATAAAACAAAATACCACAGGATTATAAAGAAATGGAACCACATTGATCTATATGTATATTTATAAAAATATATTTTTAAGCTTATGATATTAGGCTAGATGTTTATATTAATATGCTAAATAACAAGTCTTAAGAATTACCAAAATATCTAAATAAGGCTGAGAATAAGCAATAGTCTGTGACATCTACAATAACATGGTTATATTAAAATATCTGTGTTTTTTATTGTTTACACAGTTCTAGACACTGTTAGTAGTACTGGATACTCATAGTTGAAGAAAATTCTACATTTCAGTTAGAAACAGTATAAATATAGATCCTTACCCCATTTATTTGTTTATTTGACTTTGCTCTTGACCCACTGAGATTGATACACAAATCCATTGGTGTGGACCAAGTTAAGATTACAGTTTAATAAAGATGTTTAATCATGCTTTGTGCAAAGCTAGGGCCTTATAGGATAGGACATTTGGCAGGTAGGAGTTTTTGGTTCTCTATAAAAAACCGCTAAGTGTTTTCCGAAGCATTCATCTGAAATCCATGCCCTTGTTTTAGCATGTTCCCAAACTGTGGAGCATTGTTCCCCCAAGTACAAACTGGGATTGTGCCAGGAAGTCAACTTGAACATTTGATAAAGCTGAAACAATTGCAAATAAATAAATAAATACTCTGTGGCTTTAGAGAGTTGAGAAGTTCAGGCTGAAGGGATATCCGCCTCCTCTTGACGCCCGGATACCTTTGGTGGCAATGGGCCCATAGACATGGCTTTCAGTCATGGACAAGAACAAACATCCTTGGGGATGCTCAGAATAGGATAAGGTATCATCTAGCACCCCAGGAAGTAGAGCTTTGAACTGCTATAGAGGTGGGGGGTAGATAAGCTTTGCTAGCTACAAAAAAAAAAAAAAAAAAAAAAAAAAGGATGGTAGACTTTCACCCCCCTTTCTTTCTTTTCTCTTTAAAAAACTTAGTTGGTGCTGTCTCCTGTCTCCCTCTCTTTAGTCTATTATACTGTCTTGGCATTGGCTTTCTTTTTAAATGATGGGTAGTACCAAGTTTTTGCCTCAACTTATCCCATCCCTGTCCCACCTTACAACCCTGTACCAGGGAAAAACATCATCAGGTAGCTATGTTGAGACAGGAGAAGACTTAAAAATGTAATAGGGAGCAAGTTCAAAGAGAGAAAACAGATTTCTCTAAAAGGTTACCCATAACCACCCAATGCCAAGGAGACTGAGGATCGGGTGCTAATGGGGTGGGGGTGGGGTGGTTCACTCAGTATCCTCATGCAAACACAGTGTTGGAATGCTTCTTCATTAAGCTCATCTCTTTGTGCTTAACGGGGTTAGTGCTACAATCTACTGGGCATTTAGGTATTTGCCTCACTTCAGTCATGTGACTCTTGAACTCACAATAGTAGGTACAATTCCATCTCTCCTAAGCCCATGCTTTCCTCGCCCTTTGGATAAACAAAAGGAGAGCAACCCTCTGCTGGTCTTACGGCTTCTTTACGGACCTCCCTTGTCTGTCCACAGGCTTGTTTTTAGTAAAATATATGAATGACTACATTGGCCACAATGACTACAATTCCTGGCTTCTGAGCTTACCAAGTTGAGCTTTACAACACTGCTTCCTGGAGGAAGACATTGAAAATCCTCGATTACTTCGGTTTTGGAATAAATATATCTTCCCTTTATTCCTATTGCTTCTTGTCTCCTAGGTCAAATCTCTGCCACTACTGCTGATGACCCTGCTGTGTCTTTGGACTTTTGATCAATTCTGTGTTTGGAGAATGCTCTCGGGACCACAGCAATCACATTGGTGAACCATTTACCAGGCTGACAGAGTGGGAATTTGTTCTATGGTCTGTAGTGCTTGGGATCTTGTGGTCTTAAACTATTAAATGATTTGATTAAAAAGCGGGGGCAGAGTAAGGGGTGGGGAGGCAGGACCTTCTTCCCTGACTTCATCTCTGAGCCAAAATGCACTGCAGACAGTCTGCGCGCTTTCATATCTAGTCCACACACAATGTTGGCACTGTTAGTGTGTGCCCTAATACTGCTTCTCAAACAGCCCGTCTGGATCCGAGTAGGATGCTGTATACTCATCCAAACCTTTTCCCATCAATTTGAGAATGAAAGACAGCTGTGACTGTCACTTTTTTCGAGAGGGCTCTATTTTAAACTAAACCAAAGAAAAACTACAGACTTTTGTACCATAGCCAACATCTAAACATGCCTCCTTTCTGATTGTCTCAAATTTCTGCAGTTAAAAATCCTCCCCCACACAGACACACCACACTGGTCTACTCACCGAACAATCCGTCAGTGGGTCCCTCATGTTGAAATGCTCTTTGTTTCGTCTTTTAGCTACGCTCCAGCATTCTGGACACTGCGATCAATCAGGTTGGGTGTGTTCTGGACTTCCGGGATTCAAAGAGCTTGGAGTACGTCAGTCCTTGTCAAACACACCAAGGAGGAAGTTCCAGCCCTGGACTTTCATCCAGTTTATTTCCTGAAAAAGCAAAGAACAGCTCTGGGTCAAAAGAGCCCCTGGGAGATGGTGAGAACCAGTTCAGCAGACACTCACAGGGCAGGACACTGAGGCCTTGAGAAGAGGCCCAGAAGCTATGTAGAGGTCCCCATGATCTGGATGTCCAGCATGATGGTGGGAGCTCACTTTTTTTTTTTTTTCAGCTTGCCTGTCCAGTCATGGCTTATATTTTCTGTGTTTTATGCTGCTCTGACCTTTGGGAACCATGCATGCTAGAGAGGTGAAAGGTGACTGTCATAGCTGTCTTTCATTCTCTAGTTGATGGGAAAAGATTTGAGTGAGTATATCGCATCCTGCTTGGATCCAGATGGGGCTGTATGATGGTTTACATCAATTGTCAACTTGACAGGGTCTAGGATCATCTTAAGAGACTAACCTCTGAGCACGTCTGTGAAGGAGTGTCTAGACTGAGTTAATTGAGGTGTAAAGATCTGCCCTAAATGTGGGCAGCATCCTCAGATGAGCTGGGGTCCTAGCCTGGAATAAAATGAGAAAGTGGGTGGAGCACTAGCCTTCATCTCCCTGTGTCTGGCTGCAGAGGCAATGGGACCAGCTGTCTTCAAGCTCCCGCTGCCCCGCCTTCTCCGCCATGATGGACTGTACTTCAAACTACAGGGCCAAGATAGGCCCTCCCTCCCTGCTTTTGTCAAGGACCTTGCTGCAGCAATGAGGACAGTAACTAACACAGCAGGTTAATTCCCAGTGGTGACAAATTTGCCTGCAGTCCTGCCTTTGATATGTAAATTAATGGGCCAGACCCACGTGGAGTACCAAACCTATATTTCTCCTGCCCCAAGTCCCTCAGAGCTAGTACCAAACAGCCTTACAGAACTGTTAAACACTGATGTGTCCAAAAGAGACTGTCAGGAAGCGAGTCATTCAGGAACCACCTCTCAGGGCCTAACTGAACCCCGACCCTCACTCTCAGCCCAGCAGAACCAAGAGGCGAGCTATCAATTTAAGCCTGTGATTGGCTTTATTTTTCCTTACTCCACATGATGAGCAGAGTTGGAAAATCTCTTGTCAGTGACTTATTTTATCATTGCCTTTTCTACACCTTTCCTAGTTGTCAGTCCCTAGATTTCTAATTGCCCATGGACTTGTGACAGTCATTTGCAAGGCTGTGGGCAGCTTTGCTCTGGCTTATGGGCAAGGAAGTACAGAACCCCATCTGACAGTAGCTCTGTCCACAATGTCCCCTCAAACCCTTCAGGTCTCCTAGCATCCCATCTACACCAGCTGACACACCTCCATTCATCTGTCCCTTGGGTCCAGGCTTTCTAGAACGTCCCTGCAAATAGTGTAGGAAGGCACCAATGAAGGAGTGGAGAGGTGAAGTCAGGAGCCACCCTTCACATACCAACAAGATTCTCTCCAGTGGCTTAGCCATCATCACTGGAGGTTACAGCCTTGGGCAGCCATCCGGAGACTGGAGTTGGATAGAAAATCTCACCATAATGAAGAGATTCAGTGGTAAGAAACTCACATACTCACATTCCCATTAAAGTCTTCCTTAGTTTCAGAGTTTTTTTTTTTTTTTTTTTTTTTTTTTTTTTTTTTTATAAACTTGATATGCCAGAGTTCCAGGTTCCTGCTCCATTTTTCCTGACTTTTTTTAAATTGAAAATAGAATTTTTTTCATACGATATATTCCGATTTCAGTCTCCTCTTCTTCAATTCCTCTCAGATTCTCTCCACCTCCCTTCCACCCAAATTCACACCCCTTCTTTCTCTCTCTTGTTAGAGAACAAATAGGCATCCAAAAAACATAATCACAAAATAAAATAAGATGAAATAAAAACAAACTGGAAAAGGATAAAACAAAGAAACATAAGATAAAGGACCAAAGGAAAGCAGTTCCTGAGAGAGTTAAGACTTTTTCTTATTTATATTTTTCTTTCTTTATACCCTACAGGTCCACTGGGTATGTGTTATGCCTTCCAGTTTTGTGTTTTTATGGGATTCCTGAGTGTGCAAACAAGTGCATCTTTGTTTCTTGTGCCTTTTCTTGGCTTTTCCTTCTGTTCTTTGCTTTGTTCTATTACAGTGTGTTTGTTTTATCTTATTATATACCCTAGAAGCCTGTTTCTTTTCTTTTTTTTTTTTTTTTTTAACTTTTTGAAACAAGGTTTCTCTGTGTAGCCCTGGCTGTCCTGGAACTCACTCTGTAGATCAGCAAGTCTTAAACTCAGAGATCCGCCTGCCTCTGCTGCGTGTGCTGCTGCTGCCTGGCTAAGATTTGTTTTCTGAGGAGAGACAGAAAGGGAATGGATCCAGATAGGAGCGGAGGTGGTGGTGGTGGAGGTGGGAATTGGGAGGAATATAATGAGGGGAAACCATAATCAGGACTTATTATGTAAGAAAAAAAATCTATTTACAATAAAAGGGGGAAAAAGACTCTTGGTGAACATGGGGGAGATTGTCTTGCTCTTGAAGTTTGTACAAGGAATGCCGCCATTCCAGAGCATACTGGTGTATCTGGTATATAACTGCAAGGGATAGATCGTATCTGCTTCCCATCTGAGCCTTTCTCAGAAACTGGCTAGATTTTCCTTATGCCTCTGGCCATCTGCTAAAGAAAACTGTCTCTGCCATGCTCCAGTGTCCCTCTCCCAGACTCTAGTAAGCTCGGCAGGGTGTCCTGGCTGGATCCAGATTGACAATTAGGGTTTGGCTATTTGTTCAGACTCTCAAACGGGTATTTGAATTTGCAAAGAGGTCAGAGAGGAGAGTACTGTATCTTTTGTTTCTTGTCACAGTAATGCTGTATAACGACCCAGAAGCCAGGAGTTTCAAATGGCACAGAATTTATTTATTGACAGACCCTCATGTTAGCTGGTGGTTCCTAGGCTCTCCCTAGGCCCACTCACAAGGAAGAGGGCCTTGACGCATCTCTGCTCGGCAGTGCCTGGGGCACCCGCTTTCCTGGGGTGCTGGGCTGGCTGTTGGCTGAGGCCGCATCTTATTAACCAGTAGTCCAAGCCTGCAGTTCCAGCGTCCATCAGAGGAGGACAGAGTTAGTGGGAGCTCAAGGGCTTCTGAAGGGCAGACTCACAACTGACCCTCCTCCAGTCACATTAGCCGTGCCCACCTGAGCAAAGCCACCAAGGAGCCCACACAGATTCAAGGGCGGTGAACTGCAAGTCCCTTGGCTAAAGGACACAGACACGGCGGGGGGGGGGGGGGGGGGGGGGGGGGGGGGGGCGGGGCGGGGGGGGGGCTGGGAATTGGAACCACCTTGTCATTCAGTCTATCACAATGGCTGGTCAATATTTGTTCCTCAGGGACTTGAGAGATAAAGGAGGAAAAGACAGGAGGGAAGGGCTGTTTTCCATCTTCCTTCCCTTCCTGAACTCAGTGGGGTAGGCGTTGCTCATGAGCACCGATTGTGAGTAGGTGGATAAAGGAAAGGAACACACTCACCAGAGGGTCTGCCTGTGGCTTTGGGAGAGGACGCTCCTCTCTAACCTCACAGGCTCCTGTGGAGAGAGTCCTGCGGGGGGGGGGGGGGGGGGGTGTAGGACGGGACCAGTGGCATATCAGGGTTCTCTCAGGGTTTCCTATCAGCTAGGCCTGAGACTGGCTGGTCAACCTTGACAAGGAGGCCAGGGCAGGCCAACCTGAGTATGTGTGTTCTGGGGCATACGAGAAGCCCCAGACATTTGGAATTGGAGGCCGAGCCCCTGAGTCAGCAAGATGGGCAGAGAGCCGTATGGCTTTGGAATCAATGTGAACACGACTCATTTATAGCCATAGAGAAGGCCTAACACACTCTTATTCCTGAAGAATTTAGTGCCTTAGTATCCTTTTGACCTCTCTGCTCACATTTGCCTCTGGCTAGGTGCTTTTGACCTGGATTCACTTCCTGGCTTCTTCCCAGCTCAGGCCTTCAAGTTTGACTTCAGCTTGGCCTTCCTTCCTCCTTTCTCAGGCTGTGCTCAGCATCCTTGTCTACAGAAAACAAAATAAAGCAAAACAAGCTACTGTAAAGGACTCTGTCTGCCACATTATATGTCACATTCTGAGGGAGTTGACAATAATTTGTACATGTACTAAGTACTCATGAACCAAATGCTGGATATCGGTGAGTTGGGAAAAACAGGAGCCCAGGTATAATGGAGGGTAAAGGCAATTCAAATCTGCCCTGAAGTTTCCCTCGTAGCCAAAGCATGTAATAAATTATGAATGACCCAAACATTTTTAATAGAGACATAGCTGAACGCCTTATGGTAAGAGGAATTCATGTTCAGAAGCTTACCATGTGTCCCAAGACGCACATTAAAAAGCTGGATGTGTCTGTGTGTGCCTGTAACCCCAGTGCAGTGGGGTCAGAGGTAGGAGAACTGATGGGGCTTGCCTTCTGTTAGCATAGTGCCTGGTTCACTGAGAGACCACCTCAAGAGAGCATGGTGGGAAACGATAGAACAGGTCACCTGCCATTTTCCTCTGGCCTCCTCCAGCACTCACAAGCATGTGCCTTCCAACCTGGACATGTCCTACACATGTATGTGCCATACCATGCATGCACATCTACACACAAACATATACAAAGAAAGGAATATTAACTTTTTTTTTTTTTTTTTTTTTTTTTTTTTTTTTTCGAGACAGGGTTTCTCTGTGTAGCTTTGCGCCTTTCCTGGAACTCACTTGGTAGCCCAGGCTGGCCTCGAACTCACAGAGATCCGCCTGGCTCTGCCTCCCGAGTGCTGGGATTAAAGGCGTGCGCCACCACCGCCCGGCAAGGAATATTAACTTTGATAACAATTCTTTATAACA